GGGGGGGGGGAAGCTGCCGCTTGTTTTGTACAAGTGATCTCGGCAATGTTGCCGAGATTACTTGTATGCAGCCTGCATACAGGGGGCCGAATTGACGAACCTGGCCTTGGGGCAGCAGAGAGAGTAAATCCGGCCCTGCTGGTAGAGATGCTGTTTATTATTGTTTCTGGTTTCTTAATGAGATCTTACATGGTATAGTAATGTTTTGCACCTGGAAGACAAATCCCTGATCAGTTTTAAAAGGAAATGCCTGTGAGATGATATAACAGTCATGGTTGGCTATTATTAGTCTCTACACTTAACTATTGTAGCTGTAATACCATCAAAACAGCAAAAAAGATCTGTATCAACCACTGTGGGGGTCATGGCAGTGCTGCTACTCAAAATTCTAAATATAACCAGTAGAAGGTGGTTGTCCTTAATAATTTGTGTAGCTACTGCTTGTCTATGGTGTCCCAAATTTGCAAATAACTTTTGCAGTATACGGAAATGTCCAACAAACTCATTATTAATAGAAGCAAATGTTGCGGTTAGTTTCTGTGACTGCAACACACAATTAGGGCAATATGAAGGAATAATCTATGAAGTATAGAGAAGACACCAAGCTGCTTTGCTGTGTAAACCTTGCTCACTTTAAAAAGCCTGGTGTGGCTGTTAGGACTTGAACCCATGGAGAAGCTTGCGTTGAAAAATTGGAGCAAACCAAAATTGAGCAAGAGGTCAGAAAACACTGGGAAAATTGTATCATTTTTTAAATGAAGCCCACGGATGGTTGCACAAAATCTTAACACCAAAGAGAACCCAAAAAAGTCCACTGGGGTGTGTCTAAGTAGTTCTCCTTATGAAGGGCCTGTTCCCTGACCTTCTGGCTGCAAGGTTCCTGACTGGGGCAGAGCACTCTGGTGACATGTTCTTCTTCTGAAAGATATAACATTCATATTGTATGACCTGTGATGTCATTTCCTGCAGTGTGACAGTCTTCTGATGTTCTCTTCTCCAGGGTGACATTCAGCAACTACTTGTGGCAAGCAATGCCCAGGCAGCTTACGACTACTGTGAACACTACAGTCCGGACTGCGACTCTGCACTGCTGAACACGCCGCAAGCCCAGGACCCCAATACCAGGCAAGATGTGAGTATGGGGGAGTCTATGGGTGATCGGGTGCCCTCTGCAGTTTTGTAGGATTCAGGATCTATATCATATCCTCTGTCACACACCCATTCCATTAAAATGTCAGATATTGGGAAAACCCAAAGGGATTATCACCGTCAGAAGACTTTAATATGTAACTTCTACCTGCTTGTATTTTTCTTTCAGGAAGGCCTTTATATCAGCCAGCCAGAGATTGTATCTTGGATACTATAGAGGTTAGCCAGTTATAAGTACACATCAGCTATGTGGATGAGCGATGTCAATGGAAATTCATTGATAGAATACATGATAGAATCCAACTGAAATTATAGGCAGATCTCAGCTGCTCCTGTAGAATTAGAGAGTGACCCCCCACCCCTTCCATCATCCCAGGTTTCCCTTCAACATAATGGACAGCCTCGTGGTCCAGAAGGGTCTTGGGGAAATGGGAAGAGGTGGAGCTAAACATGGCCTTTAATTAACATTTGCAGCTGTATTTGTCTTCGGTGGTGGTTTTGACATTGATTTTCTCTAGAGACAACCTCTGCTTTTTGCATTTTCCATCATTTGCTCATTTTAAATTGTCCAGGATTGTGACAGGTTCACATCAACAGCATGGTATGGATAGTGTAAAGGTAGAAATCACAGGCTAGAATATGGAAATCTGTTCAGTACAAATTGCAGGAACGTATATACCAACTGACAAGGTCAAGCTGAGGGTTGTATACCTTTGTAAAGCTGGTCATGGCTGGCCCAGTAACAGATTCCCTAAATACCCAATGTATGTCTTATTTTGAATGAATTGGTATCATTATTACTTACCCCGCTGGCTATCTCTCACTGAAAGTCAACAGCTATAAGACACCTTCCTGTCCTGGATAACCGGTTACCACGATGGGATGTGATAGGACAAGGACGTCAAATTATAAAATTAATTCGACTTTACACTAACGCTCTTAGCTGGAGTTGGGCTTTAAATGCTAAAATTTAGTATAATTCCAAACCATTCATTTTCCACCAATATAAATAGTTCAGTTACCTAAGGTCTGGGGTGTGTTGTATGTAATATCATATTGCTGCCCAGTACAGAGGAGAAGTTCAGTGTGTGGAATATGTCATTTGGGAGAACAGATTTGTGATGACACTAAATAATATTTCCCCGTATTCCAAGTTCCAGCAAGCTAGCACAGAGGTAACAATATTAAGGGAAATAACGATAGACACTCAATATGTATTCTGGGACTTCTTTTGCTTTAACCAAAGTCACGTAGACCGACAAAATTAGGAAAAGGTGAAAAATTTTACAACAAAACATATTTATGATTATTTTCCCTGCACTATACATACTCTGACTTACTTTTTATAACCTTTATATGAATATTATTTCTACCAATTAAGGACTTGTTCACACTCACCTATAAGAGCATCCATCCCAAGAAATTAAAATTGTATATCTTGTACTCTTTAGGCTTAACTTGGAAATTGGAATTCCAACCTAGACTTTTCAATTTTATTTAGTTTTTGGACAGCCTGGGGAAGGCATATAAACCCTGTCAGCTTGCGACAGCTCAAACTAAAGTAAAAACAAGGTGCTGGATATGAATATTCGATCGGTTCATCAGATCACTTGGCTCTGGGGACACCCATTGACAGAGGGGAGAGGATCTAGAAATGAGAATCGACGTGTCTAATCAGAGCGCCAAACAACTTCCAAGAGTCTGAAACCTTTCATGGTAAAATTGTTAAAATTGTAAAATCTAATTTCCAAAATTGTGCAACAATTTGACCATTAAATATTTTGGACTCTTGGACATTGTTTTTTTGCTCTCTTTAGGCTGTTTACAGCTGTCTGTGTACGCTTTCAGGAGTTTAACACTCATTTTCTAACCTGATGATTGGTACCATACGGATAGATGGCAAACAAAAAAAATCACTTGTGTCAGTAGTATGAGAAAGGGTCAGAATCTCCTTCTTTTATTTTTATTGTGGCCGGTCCCCTTGTTGATGAGATCATGTCCTGTGTTAGTGGTGTCACCAGGACATGATGGGCAATGAGTCCCCCCAGGGGACAGGAACACAGAATCATAGAGTGATGGCGAAAAAAGACAAAGTGGTCCATCAAGTCTAACCCTTTTTTTAGGTTTTTTTTTCCTTCTATAATCTTTTGTTTGAGTCTAGATCTTCATTTATCCCAAACATGTTAACATTGCACTGTTGACTGACTCCTTCTTCTGGAAGTCTACTACAAGCATCAGCTACTGTTAAAGAATACTTTCTAAGGCTAGAATTGAACTTTCCTCCTGCTAGTTTTCAGGTCATATCACTGAGTTCTTGATCTTAGCTTCGTATGTTGACCTGCCGATGATGCCACAACGACGCAGCTGCCCGCACATCACCCCAAGCCGCCGTCCGCGTCACGAGGGCATCACAATCCAGGTCTGTAATCCTTCTGCAATTGGCCCAGTGCCGCCCTCGGCGAATCTGCCGCTCCAGGCAAACGCCTTGTTTGCCTCGCCGCAGATACGCCCCTGTTCATGTATTGCAAGGTTTTAGTCATGTCTCCTTTTCCTTCTTTTCTCAAGAGAGCAATCAAAACCTTATAGAGGTTCTAGACCATTTCCTGTTTATGCTACTAAAAAAAATGTATTTTATTTGTCATGGGGGTTTTCCTCAATTGAGAATATTTTATTTTACCATTTGTCCCAGTAGCACCAGTCATCAGGACAGGAGGTCAGGGGAACTCTCATCAATAGATCATGAAACATTAAAACATTACTAGTCTACTGACATAAGTGAAAATAGAGTTACTTATATTATGAGAAGAGGATTTGTGCCACATTTGGGGCCTAAGAGGTCCCCTTCTTTAAGGCAACAGTAACAAACAGCAGCAAGGGACACGAGCTTCACAGATCCCCCCACCGCCTCCAGAAATGCCCACATGTACTGTAAGCAAACAATCAAAGCTCTCAACATTAACAATTAAACTACATGAGGGTGTTTCTAGAGGTGGGTAGATCTTTGACTGAACTTTAAACCTCGCGTGTGTTTCTGTTGTTTGTCACTGTTGTCTTGATGAAGAGGTCCTTTGAGGCCCCATAACATTGTACTATGGCCTCGTGACAATAAAAGTCAACCTATTTTCACTAATATCAGCGTGCTGGTGACACTTTGCAATCATCACGTTCTGTTCTCTAATGCCGCCATCCATTGGTCTGCCACTACAGCACCCGCCAAACTAAGGCTAATACACTTGAAGGAGTGCACTGGATTGCTTGACCTCCTCCGTGAGACACAAACAGATATAATAAGCTCACAGAGGTTCCAATCCTTCCTCAATCTATCCACAAGTATGTAAAAAATAGATTCAATTTTCAAGAGTAACAAACAAAAATAGCAATAGGGACAAACAAGTGTGGAGAAAACTAGACCAAATGGGGTTGATTTATCAAAAGGTAAATAGTCTGTTCACTAAAGTTGTACTAAAGGCAAGATAACTTTATCTTAGTTTATTGAATGAGGTGAATCTCTGCTGACTTCCATCATCCAATCATGTCCCAGCAAAAACATTTTTTTCAATCTTCCTTGTACGTGATTGGGTATCCTTTGCAAAGTGAGTGTTCACCACATTCAACAAGCGAAGGGAAAATTCTCCTGCAAAGTGCAAATTGCAAAGTGAACAGCCGATTTGCCTTCAGTAAATCATCTCCGATGTGCATACATTCTGGTAAAGACCAATGGTCACCATTGCTTCTCATCCCTCGCTCACAAGCACTGCTCATGTGTGCTCACTAGTGTGAACAACTCCTTTTTGGGATTTCTGTGGCATTCGCTACTATTTATATCCAGTTGCAGATATTATGTTGATGTCATTGTTGTAATGGAAATATGCAATGATGTGATAATATTACTTTTCCACAAGAACATGTCTCTACCTCCAGCCACCCTACCGCCCGCTCAATCTGCTTTCTTTTTGTTTTTTGCTCAAAGTAACTTAATTGTTTTAACTGTGTTAAGAGATTGAGTAAGATTGAACCGTCTGTGATCTTATCGAAGTGGGCCGTGGAACATGTAACAGAGCTGCGGGGGGAAAAACATAGTAAATGTGAAGCCCCCTCAATACAGGCAGAGGCTCTTCCACTTTATCTGAAACAAACAAAAATCAGGCTTTTTACCAAAAAAAAGGTTTGTGAATGATGAATGTGCCACGGCTTTACCTTCCCTATAGATCAATCTCTTAACTGGGGGTTATTTACAAAGACTCACAGAGAGCATAAGGCTTCATTCACATGAGAAACGTCCGGAACATACAGCTCCATGCTGCGTGTACGGCCATATCGGGCAGTTCCCGGGAAGGACAGGTGCTGCGTGTGATTAGTACGCAGCCCCCGTCCTTCTCTATGAGAGTACGCAGCCGTACACCGCCCTACGCTCACCTCAAGTGCAGATCCTTACGGGATCGGGTGTCCCGGCTCGGACGCAGGCAGGATCCATTCTGTCAGCGTACAAGTACATACAGCCTCACCCGAACGGACATGCAGGGCGGGTGAGCGTAGGGCCGCTTACTCCCATAGAGAAGGACAGGGGATGCGTACTAATCACCCGCAGCACCTGTCCTTCCCGGAAGCTGCCCGATCCGGCCGTGCACACAGCACAGAGCTGTACCTGCCAGCCTTTTCGCGTGTGAATGAGGCCTTTAGTCTATGAAATGCAAAATGTGTGATATTAGGAGCATCCCTCAAAAAAACAACCGAAGTCACAGATATTTATTTTTAATCCAAATGTGTCTTTGCACAAAATTCTAATTGAAAGAAAACAAAGAAAGGTTTAGAAAGGCTCCATTGAAATTGCAGCGCGTGAGTCTTTGTAAATCACCCCCCATGGAATGGCGCTATTATCTTCTCTCTGTGCTTAACATCCTTTCCCCCTCCTGCCACATGTAGTATACAGAGGAAGAGGTGGAGTATTACGAGTATCCATACTATTATGACAATAAGGAGGAAGGGACGCCTAACCCACCTACCGAAATCAGTGCCCCCGAGGGGGACACAGTGGAGAAGGTAACCAGTGGATGTGTCAGTCAGTGCATCCTGGTGTTGTGTGTCACTCCATCTCATCCCATCTGCCGTGTTTTATTGTCAACTGGAGGCTGCCCAGCCAGGAGGAAGGGGTTTAGTTCCAGCGTTTAGGGAAAGAAAAAGTCAATTTGTTACATTTCTGCAAAGGTTAAAAATTGTTTTGACATTTTTACCCTGCCCAAAACGACTTGCTCGGAAGGTTTGACCTTTTCAGCAAGTCTGTCAGAGGTTTGTTTCTTATATAAGACATATATATATAAATGATATAATCATTTATCATTTATAATAATATTCCCCGCCTCTTACATTTTTTAAAAACTATGTTACATAGATTTATTGATAATAATAACATTCCTGCACATTTAATTGTTTATTTTATTCTTCTTAATCTATAAATAACTATGGCCATGCATTCATTCACCTATTCTTTCACTGACATTTTCCAACTCTTTCATTATAAATAGTTATGACACATGTCCTGTTTAATTCATTCATACTTCCTATTTATTCCTTATTCAATGTGACACCTATGTTAATTGATTTGTAGCTAACTTTATATTTGTATTTCCTTTTTCATTTATAATGATTCTAAATCTGTTGTTATTATAATAATTAAATCTTGTTTATAAAAAGATTTAAAATATATAACAAAACAAATTCATGATTTTTAACAAATTAAAACATTATTAAAACAGAATGAAATTGACTTGAATTATTGTTACTATAATAATAAAAACAGATTTATAATCATTATAATAAAATAGGAAACAGAAATTAAAAGGTAGATATTAATTAATTAACAATTATGATAATAATGAATTTTCTTATTTTGCATTCATTCATCTATCTACTCACAGTCTTTCTCTTTATTCAAATAATTAACAAAGTAATTACTTTATTGCCTTTATTAACAAATATGTAATTTGTGCTCATTTATTTATTCATATTTCCTGCATTATAGTTGAATACATCTAATATAAATGTAATACATATTAATTCATTAATTCACTCATTTATTCATTCCATCTTCCATCTTTCATTCCTATTTCTTGTCTCCTTTTATTTGTTTACATTAATTTAATTAATCATAATTATATTTTATTACTCTGCTACCACTCCATTATCACATCTGTATTCATTTATCCATTCATTAATTTGTTCGTTTTTCCTGTATCCACATTTATTAATAATTATGACATCCATATGTAACAACTTACATATTTATTTCCCTTTTATCTATCATAGTAACTATTTTATATATAATTGTATATTTTTTACATGTAGTAAATTATTATCCACGTGATGCACTCCATATATCCTAATGTAGTTACATTTTGCATTAATTTAGTCATTAATGCTTCGTATATGAACATTTGCATTTATAGTGCAGAATATTGATTACACCAACCATCTGGTGTTGGAAGAAATTTTTGTAGTAATTCTTTGAGTGGGATGAAGAGAAGTCCCCTTACTTTTCCTTACACCTAGTTTCTGCATATGAAGGTCATCTGGTCATGACGTGTGGTATTCATACCTGTTTCTCTCTCTCTTTCTCTCCAACCCGCCTTTGTCTGTGTATGACTCCCATTCCATTATTACCACCTGCCCTGAAAATAAAACAATGCCCTCCCTACTATCTTATCTGCCACGGCTACTGGCAGAAAAACAAAGCCAAAAATCACAAGCCACCAGCCAAGTCGAAGCCAAGGGTGCCTCCTCCTGCCAAGAGTACCGACAAGTCGAAAAACGGTGTTGCAGGCAAGGCCCCCGCCAAGCGAAATGCCCCTGTGAAAAAATCTGTGGGCAAGGCCAAGCCCAAGAAAAGATTCGCTGGTGCCAAGAGGAGGAACGTGGGCAATAGCTACCAGCAGGTAGAGAAAAAAATTCAAGTATGCAGATCCCATTGGCGTGATCTGACATACATGACCTCCCTCTGCCCCACAACACTCCCATCATCCCATGACCTGATTACAGGGGGGATATGGGCAATCCACTTAGAGATGTTGTTTGTGTGTATCAAGGGTATACATTCATTACATATTCATTCTTTCATTTATTTGTGTATTCATTCATTCATTCAATCTATCTTTCATTCCTATTTTCTGTCTCCTTTCATTTGTTTAAATTACTTTATTTAACTGATAAAATATTTTATGAATTCATTACTTTCCATTATGACATCTGAATTCACTTATTCATTCATTTATTCAATATTCCTTTATCCACATTTACTGGTAATTATGACATTTAACAACTTATATGTTTATTTATTTCCCTTTTATCTATTATAATTATTATATATAGTTATATATTTTGTACTCCTTTATTCACAGTTTCTAAAATACTTTATTATCTAAAAAATGTTCGGCGGTACTTCTTTTCACCTGACCTTTTAGTCTTACGATTAGCTGAGAGTCTGGTCTATGGTGTCCATGTTAGGACATCCTTCCGAAATACATAATTCATTTTTCTAACGCCCCTTATTTCAAAGCCTCCAACTTTTTTTTTTTTACAGACTTTAAACTATTGATCACCTTATATACTGCTCTTCCCCCCATGAATTATTAATTGTGCTGGCTACAGGAGAGAGAAATATTACATTAAAAGAATGTCCTAATATGAACTTTATAGGACCAGATCTCAACTGAGAGTCAAGCCAACTCGTTCTCTAGGTAGAGTTTGTTTTATAAAAATAACCAGCTATAAAAAATAAAATATATTTTATATGTTTATTTTTTAATATTTTATATATATAATTTCCTAACTTCAAACTGATAAAAAAGGATATTAATCCATTACAACTTACAGTATCATTAATTGATTTTGCAATTATTAATATGTACATTTTATCTTTTAATGTATTCATTTATCTAAAAAGATAAATGAAAGAATACTTTGCATTGATTCATCCACATTTTAAATACATTTAAATGTATTTTTGTATTAATATCATACATAAATTAAATTATTAAATTATTAAATCCTTTAGTTAACGTTAAAGTAAATTTCATTAATGAGTATTAATATTCACATTTTCCCATTTTTATTGTATTCCTATTTATAAATTAGGCATTTAATCAGATGTTAGAGTATATTAATAGCAATGTTTTCTGGTTCTCATTTATTAATAACTAGAGCATGGATTTTTTTAAACTAATTAATTTGATATTTTCATTTTACTTGTTGTTTATACCTTTTTGTTTGTTTGTAAATGCATTTCTGCATGTTAGAATGCAAACTGTACATCGATTCATGAACCCAAACATGTTCTGCATCCGCTGAATGTTTGATTTTGATAGACTTTGATAGATAGAGTTTTTAATTTAAGCATTTTTTTTCTTCCGAACACACTAAAATATTTATTTTCTGTTGGTAAATTATGCATCATCTGTTAAGTTGCTTTGTTGCATGTAGTTGTTTCTTGGGCTCAGTTTACCTGTGTGTCCCGTTTCCTTCATGTGTGCTCTAGGCTTGGGATTAACCCAATAGTAAATAACTTTTTATGCTTAGAATTCATAAATATCATGGAGAAAGAAGATGGGGTTATGTAATCAGGAGCTACGTGACACCAGTAACATCCAATTTGAGAATATTTTCTTGAAAGTCCTAACTATATTCAATTATTTGCAGTACCTTTGTTTGTGATTCTGAAATTTAGCTTCTGTAACTATTTTATTTTTATTTTTTTAGATTTTTTTAGCGGTATAGTGCAGAATATTGCTTGAACCAACCTTCTGATGTTGGTAAAAATTCTTGTAGTAATTGTTTGAATGGGATAAAGAGAAGTCCCCTTACTTTTCCTTGCTGGGCGACACCTAGTTTCCTTTGAACATTGTCTGGTCATGACGTGTTGTATTCATGCCTGTTTCTCTCTTTCTCTCCAACTCATTTTTGTCTGTGTATCGCTCGTTCTCCATTATTACCACCTGCCCTGAATATAAAACAATGCCCTCCCTACTATCTTATCTGCCACGGCTACTGGCAGAAAAACAAAGCAAAAAATAGCAAGCCAACAGCCAAGCCGAAGCCAAAGGTGCCTCCTCCTGCCAAGAGTACCGGCAAGTCGAAAAACGGTGTTGCGGGCAAGGCCCCCGCCAAGCGAAACACCCCTGTGAAAAATACTGTGGGCAAGGCCCAGCCCAAGAAACAATTCGCTGGCGCCAAGAGGAAGAACGTGGGCAATAGTTACCAGCAGGTAGAGAAAAATCAAAGTATGCAGATCCCAGTGGCGTGATCTGACATACATGACCTCCCTCTGCCCCACAACACTCCCATCATCCCATGACCTGATTACAGGGGGGATATGGGCAATCCACTTGGAGATGTTGTTTGTGTGTGTCCATGTTATGCAACTTGTTAGTGATGCCTGCTCTATGCTTATTGTTTCATGCTTGGGGGCTCATTCATTGTTGTTCATGCAAAAGAAGAGACCTCTGTTCATACACAGAACAGTTTATTTTACACATTGTTAGTCTAAATTCATATAAACATTGATAAACATGAAAAACAATTTATCCAATGGACTAGCCACTGTTGATCACTTTTAGGTTGACTTTGCTTGTATTATACTCATCAATGTATATGCCATGTTCTGTGTTTTCAGAGGTCTCTCTTTTGCTGTTTGTGTAACTGTTCTGTTACTTTAAATGAATGATTGCAATGCCCCTGTGCACCCATTCCTTAATGGGTGGTCATCACATGAAAAGATTCACCACGGGGTTCATCATCTCAAAGTCCTGATATGTTTTGCTGATAATGACCCCTCTAAGTGAATCAGTGATGAGAAGTTGACTTTATTGTCCTCGAGTAAGAGAGGCGTAAGTTTATAATATACTAATGCTTGCAATTTTCTCTTGTTCCCTTTTCCGTTTTGATCTTCCCCTTAAATCTGAACAACTTTGCCATTTTCACTTGCTTGTTCCTTTCAAACTATGTCTTTCTCCAAATTATCTTCGCTCCAACTTTCTGTTGCTGTTTCTTCATGCTTTCGCTCCTCTTTGCATCTTCAACTTTCTGATTCTCTGTGGTTATCAAGGACCCTGCCCCTCCTTCTGAACCTATCATGACCCCTGAACCCGCCTTGTTAGAGCAAAGCCTTGATTACACTGTATCACCATACGAAGAGGAGGCTTATGGGGCTTGGGAGGAAGAGCCCACGCCTGAAACTAAACCTGATCCACAGGTAACCATTAACTTTTCCATCAAACGTCACTTAATCACACAATAGGGTAGAGGCTTGACAAAAAATTCCCCAACCTATCATTATGAACTTTGGCCTTTAAAATGGAAAACACTTTTGAAGAACCTGTCATTGTTTGAGGTTGGGTTACTGCCCATTTTTATACTTTTGGAGCTATGGCCTACTACTCCTCCTCACAATCTCATGAATTGAGCACCTCTATATCAGAAGAACCACCATGACAAATTTGACTTTTAATGCCTATTTTGATTTTATTCCCTAAAACTCCCCATTCTGTGTAAGGCATGGGCCACATGTTTATACTTTTTATCTATATTCACTACTTATCACTAGATCCTTTTGTACCTCCTCTTGTTACTCTCTCCATTATCTTTATTCTTGACTTATTTGCCCCCCTTGGAAGGAAAAGGAACAACCTCCTTCTACAGATGTCAAAGGTAGCGATTCCTTCACAGCGGAGTATGTAACCGGAGAGGAGGAAAATCCAACTGTCGGTCTGGACTATGAGTATGTGTACAAGGATTATCATGAGGGCTCGGAGAGTTCACAACTTGGCCCAGTCCTCTCTGCAGAGACTCCTGAGAGTGGAGGTGTAAGTCTCACTGTGTAGTGTCCTTTAAACTGAGTGCAGTGGGTTCTACAAACCCTGTGAGACTCTGAGCAAAATAAAAGAAACATCTTTTTTTTTTACATTCTGCCCTCCTCTCTGGTCCTCGTGTCCTTTCCTTGTGTCAACTCTCCATGTCAGTCCCCTTTGTCTTGTTCATCATTATTCCTTTGTCCAGTATCTTTGTTCATTCATGTTGCTCCTTTTTGTTCATCTCCTTGTTTATATCTCACCTCCCACAATTTTTCTGTTGTTGTTGTTGACCATACTTTTTATACTGTGCGTGTCTACATGTTCTTCTGGATGGATGCTTTTGGTGTCCTCCTGTTTGGACTTTCTTTTGTCTCCCATCTGTTGTCCTCTGCTGCTTTTCCTTACTTGTCATCTCCACTTTGTTGCTCAGATTTGTATTATGAGTGTTGCTGTGATATAACATTCTATTATGGGATGTCAGAAAATAAGCAATCCAGTTGGAGCCCTGGGTGACCAAAGGATGTCATGTTGCTCAATGTCACCTTGATCACCGGAGTCCATTATGGATTCATTCTGACCCTCGCTTATGGCATCATAGAATTCTCAACCTGCTCTGGAATTATATGATCCTTTCACAGTGTGTTTCAGTGCCTCAAGCAATGCAGCTTTGCTGATGAAATTTCACACTGATAGCACTACTGCGCCCCTGTATAATTTGAGGGCCACAGTTTGAAGTAGTATTGTGTTGACTGTCTCCATTATAGTTTAGCATTATCAGAATACAAATTTATAGCATGTAATATTAACATATATAATGGCTAAACCAAGGATTGCTATTTGGTATTGACCAAAACTGCTCTTATTTTTAGGAAATTAAGGAAGTATAACACAACATTAGATTTAGTTTTTATATTTGCACTTGCGTGCTTTGTGTTAAATGTAAGTAGAGATAATGGACTTTAATGTCTGAGTGATTCTAAATATCTGCATCTTTGTGGTTATATGTGTGCTACCCTCAGGCCATCAGCGGGCCCCGTGGGGTGAAAGGAGATAAAGGAGAACCTGCTGTCATAGAGTCAGTAAGTAAAGTAATTTATACAATGCAAAGATAATGTCTAAAACCAAAAATAAGCAGTCCCAACTCTACTGGTCTCAGTACAAAGCTTTATGGTTGCTCAAAATGACTATTGGGAATCCTTATATTTGGTCAGCAAGAGATCTGGGGGGTGATTTACTAACCTTAACGCACACACGCACCAGGTGCGTGTGCATTTTTACACAGCAAAACGTATTTATCAACCAAACACGAGCAACGTGTCACATTTTCACGCCGTTATGGTGCGTTTTTATGTATTTACGTACGTGCGCGTCATGTAGCATGCGCCACAGGCTACACGCCGCTCTAATAGCGGCATGCAAGTCTCTAAAAGCATATTTCCACTAATGCCATATAAGGAAAAATCATGCACATGATGCATATATAATGCTGCTTCACAGTTTAGACAAAAATGGTTAGCTCATGCATTTACATTCCTGCATTCATCAACGCAAGCAACACAACGTAGAGCTAATTTACACAACATCACCTCGCAAATCATGCAGGGCTTTGCACAACACACCTGCTGGGTGTGTACACACTACAAAGGTGTCTAGATTCCACCAATAGATCATGCTGGGAGGGAACACACTACAGAGGTGTATACTTGTTCGTGGCGTGTTTATAAGGTTAGTAAATCAACCCCATGATATTGTTATTTAAAATACAAGTCAATAATTGAAATATCAGGTTTTTGTAGACATCCCTTGTTGTTGCTGCCATACTTAGTTGTTTTAAATGGTCAGTCCACCCAATTATTTTTAGGTTTATATTAGATGCTGGAGAGATAAACCACCTGACAGTCTCTTATATGTCCTGGGGACTCTCTGTTAGTCAGATCTTTGCATTGGAATTCGGTGGCCTGCATACATGCTGTGGCAGTTATAAGGCACTTCCATCTCATTTATATTATGGGGAATGCAATGTAACAGTTGGAGTTGAAACATGCGTTGGTAGGTGGGAACACTCAAAATCCCAGGTGGACAAGGGTTCCCCATTTGGTTCCCCATGGTCCCTGTGTGTGTTGTAAAGTAGTCACCTCTCCAAACTCGCTCCCGTGATGGACTACAATCTCATGTTTAGTTTACTAATTTGTATTGAGATTGTAGTCTATCATGGGAGCATGCTTGGGGCGGTGACTACTTTACAACACACAGGGATCATGTGGAACACAAGTAGCCACCCTCCAGAAGGAAGGACAGTGTCATCACCAATTCAGAGATGATTGGAGGATCTACAGCCGAGTGATACACAAATAAGATACATTTTTGTTAAAATTTAAGGTACTTGATTGTATGTTTAAGATTTAATTCCTGAGTTTAGTGTCACTTCAGGTAAACCTACAATGTCCAGTTTTCAGAATAAAGGTTTTCCTAACAATGACTTATTTGCTCATGTTCACCATTTTATAACAGTAATAGCTGATATATGAAATGATAAATGAGTGACAATTCGCTTTCTTCTTTTACAGGGAATGCTGGTTGAAGGTCCACCAGGACCAGAAGGGCCCGCTGTAAGTATTATTTTATTATATCTCTGTCTCAGATGATTTGCTTTTTTTTTTTTTTTTAAGCTGATAGTATTACATTACAGAGTCTATGACACAGAAAACCTAAAGGAGAAGACCATGTTCACTTTGCAAGTAAATTTTCATCTAGCTCAGTGAATTTTGGGAAGCTGAGCTGACTTCTATTATCCAATCACATGCAAGCAAAAGTACTGTTTTTTTAAATTTTGCTTGCAGGTGATTTTATGCAATGTGAATTTTCACCAGATTCATTAAGCTGGTGAACATTCTCCTGCAAATTGAAAATTCCCTTTGCAAAGTGCACATGATCATTTGCTTTAGTAATCAGGGTCTCTGTCTGCTCTGAGCACACTGCTATACGCTGTAGACCTTGGGGATATATAGTAGGTATAGGTTGCTGCATTTGTCTTTGGTGCCTTTAATGTTAGCCATCTTTTTGAAATGATATTCTCTGTCCTTGCATCGTGTTTTTATTACCTTCTAAAGTAAAAAACACAAAAACATGCATAACATTAAAGACTATAAAATATACGCAGAAACTGGAAAAACACACATTCCAAAATTGCTGTGTAAGTCGGAATTTTTTTTTATCACCATGCTTAAGACTCTCTGAAAATCTCAAACAAATATATGTCCACATAGACAAATGCTCTGCCTAGTGAATGTCACAAAAGTCCACAAAAGTCCAGATGGGAATCAACAGGTAAACTATAGTAATGAAACTGTTGAAAGTTATTTATTCATTTGCTTTGTGTCATTTGTAGGGGTATTCAGGTCCCCCTGGAACACAAGGCCATCCTGGACCTGTTGGTGACCCTGGAGAGAGGGTAGGAAATTCAGATTTGAATGAGAGTTTGGAAATAATCCTGTGCACTTCTTCAACTCCTCCTGCCATCAGAGCACAATCATTTATTTCTGATAAACTTTTTTTACACTTTTAGGGTACCCCAGGTCGGCCTGGTCTCTCTGGAGCCAACGGGTTGCCTGGACCACCTGGTAGCTCTGTTATGCTTCCGGTAAGTCTTTTGGTTGAAAACTATAAGTTGGAAAAAGTTACGCTTTCCGTTAGTTTTGTCTGGAGCTGGACTTTATTCATCTAAACTATTAAAACCATTGTTCTAACAGAATATGTTGATCTAATACAATACAATCGCAATGTTGTACCACACCAAACCTTAGCTCATGATTTTGCCTTCCAACCACTCTCCACAGTTCCGATTTGGAAGCAGCGGTGGTGACAAAGGCCCTGTAGTGGCCGCACAGGAAGCTCAAGCAGCAGCTATATTACAGCAGGCCAGAGTAAGTCATGAACATCCCAAGACTAGTTTGTTTTTCCTGTATCTGATTTTGTAATATGTCATCTCTTTGTCACATTTTGTCGTTGACAGCTGGCTTTACGTGGGGCCCCAGGACCAATGGGTTACACTGGAAGATCTGGACCTTTGGTAAACAACTCTACTGCAACATATATATTGTTTAAGTTCTAGAACGGGCAGCACAATAATTGGCTTAAACCTATGGAATTCTTGGCTCATTGACTCTCTAGTCACCAATTTATTGTGCTAGGTTGAGGGCAATGACAACCATTTTTTTGGAATATCAGTTGGTTAACTGGATTCCAACCCATTGGCAATACTGCATATGAATGAATGTAGTAGGGACATGGAATCGCCTTGGGTGGGTGGGATTGATGTGAGTGGTCTATGTACTTTGGGTGTGTAGCCTAATTAGTCAGTCTACCTATGTGTTGGATGGATAATCCAACAGTCAGAACTTCCTGTTATAAATTTAAATTATTGCCATGCACTACCCATCACCCAATATGGCCCAGAAATTGTACTTTGTATAGATGTGCAACTAATGATCTCTTATAGGTCTCTATGTGAATGACACGAAGAGCTGCCAGATCAGAGTTTAATGCATCTTTTCCTGATTTTTCCTGACAAGAGTCTGGTTTGTGATTTCAGGGTCCACCAGGAAGTCCTGGAACAAAGGGGGAAGGTGGAGATCTTGGTCCTCAGGTAATTAAGTAAGCACATACACATTGTTTTCTAACCCACACACACTTTAAATGCGCATCCATTGCACAACACAGAAGCACAGCTTCTAAGACACTGTCTAATTATACCACTTACTGAAATGTCATAAGAATTGGAGGATTGTAAAGAAGACACCAAAATCAATAAGGATGAAAGTTTAAAAGTGATATAGTTAAAATAAAACGGAAAAGAGCGTTGCAAAGGAGATACCAATTGCCTAATAAGCCCAGACGGTGGTTTCAAACTCAGGTGGTTTCATAGAGGGCGACCGGCCTGGTACTGCTTTACTAACTCTTTGAAAAATCAAAGAGAGTCTGACTCAGTTTTCGTAGATGACTATTTATAAATAAGCATATTTCACCTCATCCTTGGAATTTGTCTGTGAAATAGGTAAATTACACAGAGGATAAAGATACGGGGTGACTAGGTGAAGGATCTCTGAAGAGGCAACAGGGTGAGGTGTCTGAGGGGCAAGGAATGGGCAAGATTTTGAAGCACTAATGTTAGGATAGATGGTTGTAGATGCAGAGAGGAAATATAAGTTAGTCTATTATGTATTATTAGTAAGATGAATTTCAAAGCTGATTATATCAATGTAATTTTTAGTATTGATTCCCAATCTTACATGCTTGCTGTACAATTTCAGTAACTGTATTACTAATATGGATTTGTAGAGTCTCCCTCTAGTGTCTGTATTGCACTTCACGGACATTGCCCACTTGAGTAGCAACTGCTGAGACATGAAAAGTTTGAGTAACATTTTGCTTTGCCCATGCCAACCAATGAACTTCAAACCCGTCTTTTCAGCGGTTCAGATTTGAAAATAAATCCAGAAAGCAAGTTTTCATGGCAGCAAGAGAATATGATTTTTGTGCTCACTGTAAAACCATTGATTTGAAGAGCTCATTGAGGGACACATACCTCTGGGGTGTAAGCCTTGCATTTAGCACTATGCTGTGTCCCCCCCAATGAACATTTGAAGAAATGTTACCTTTAGCAGACGTTTTGTACATCAGGCCCTTCGGCAATTTATAGAATACAACTACTTCTATGTGCACACTGCAATGTTTTCAGTATGCCTGCTGCCCTCTTTCCTGCCAGAGCATCCCAGGTTGCTAAGGGCCAGGCGGGGAGGTGTGTAAGGGCCAAGAAGTAACACTGGGGCCATTATAGAATACGACTTCCAGTAGCTCATAGGTAAGAATGCTTTTAATACATTGTAGTAGAAATATAAAGTGAATGAGTTATAATGTTCTCAAGGCTACAGACTAGTCAAGCCCCATAAATACTTAACATTTCAGGTTAGCTGCAAGTTGGCATAGTACTCAGCATGGCCGTACCTTTAATGAGGCATCCTAAGACTGTTGCCTCAGACGGCATGTTTTTGGGTCACGTAGGGGGGCATCAGACAGAGCGTCATGGCCGCGGCATGGCCTCTCTGCTGCATAATGTTTGCAGTGTGCCTGCCGTCCCCTTTTCGACCAGAGCGTTCCAGGAGCCGAGTGGGTACATGTGTAAGGGCGAGGAGGACATTGTCACTCAACCACCACTACCAGCTGTCTCAGGTGACAAAAAGGCTAGGGATTACTCTGGTACTCCGAAAAGTCATTATTTCCTTTTTACGGGTTTATCTTGTTCTGTAAAAGTTGTAATATTCTGATTGGCTAGAAGCCAAGAAAGCTCCAGTGCTCTGACTGGCTATTGATTGGTCTATCTCTTCATTCCAGTATCCTAGGATTGGCTACATCTTGGTAGAACCTGTCACTATTTTCACTAGGAGTTTAGGGCATTTAGATATTTTTGGGAAATGGTAAAAGAAGATGCCGGATTGTACTACTCCCCTAAAAATCACAGATCACTTGAGGAGCATAGAAGGAGATCACTTGCATGGGCATAGCTGAGGAAACATTATAATTCTTGTAGGGTCAGAACTTGTATACACATACACTACTGAAGAAAGAGTAACGAAACAAAAAAGTAAAATAGAAGAAATTTAATTATTAATTTCTATCTTCCATTTTTAACTTGTACTAGGGGCCAAGAGGACCACAGGGCTTGTCCGGACCTCCAGGAAAAGCAGGAAGACGAGTAAATATCCATCTTATTTGATCACCTACTGTTGATATTGTTAATAAGAAATGTACTTCAAAATAGTCTTGTATAGTTTGTGATGAGACTATGGCAAGACACATAGAAAAATTGAGGATTCAAGTCCTGTGTGACGGCGCTCTCCTGAGGGATGGGGTTGTTTTTTGTTTTTTTGTTTTTTGTTTCTGACTTACTCAGAACTTTTGATTGGGTGGGGGCTTTGTGGAGGAGGATGGTGTTGAGATGGGGGTGGCGTGCGGCTTCAGTTCAAAATGGACCGGGGTGTCCACTTGGTAAGGGTGCAAAACAGAAAAAACAAAGTCTGAGGCGCAACTGCCTTTAGGGTTGAATAGGTGAGGGTATGGCAGGGGTTAAATGGGCTGGGGCATGCAGGTTAAATGCTGCCCGAGAAGCAGTTTCGTAGATGTTTATCCCTCCGTAATGTGATCAATATCAGGGGTGGATGGAGAAATAAAAACAAAAAACAAAAGAGGTGCACATGAAAATGGAGGCAAGTTGAACGGTGTGTGTGGTGCATATATCAACTCACCGCGAGGTTCTTGGGGAAGTGTTGTCATCGACGACGGGGTTCCTGTTGGAGGCAGCGTCCGGCGGTCTCTTCTGGGACTGGGTGCAGGGATTCAGATGCCGGGTCGGGGTGCGATTCTATCGGATGCCTGTGTGTGGGACGTGCTGCTGGGCTGCTGGACTGCTGGGCTGGGTTGCGATGACTCGGGTCACGTTGTTTCGGCGGAGCTGGAGCGTCTGGTCTGGTGGCGGCTGGTGGACGTCAACCACGTCCTGTGTTTGAGGAAAATCTGGTACGCTGGCGGGTGGGGGACGCCGATCACGTCCTGTGTTGGATACGGAGCTTGCGGTGCGGGCAGTGGCTCTCTGTACGAGGTGGCTGAGTGATGAGGTGCGCAGGCGCCGCCGAGCGACGGCGGTCGTGTTGGTCCAAAAATGGATAGGACGCTTGTGGTAGTCTAGGCAACGCGTTTCGAAGATCACGTCTTCTTTATCAAGCCCGGGTAGGGATGGCAAGACACAGCAGGGGCTCAACAAACTAAGAAGACTTCTGTTCTAGTGAATAGTACTTTCTTCAGGTTCTAATACACTTTAACATGTTCTTGTCCTAGGGTCGCTCTGGTGCTGATGGGGCTCGTGGTCTGCCTGGTGAATTTGGCAGCAAGGTAAACCCTTGACTTTCATAATACTTTATTATTATTGTTGTTATTATTATTATTATTATTATGTCATGTTATTTACATTTTCCTCGGTTTTCTTGATAGGGTGACAGGGGGTTCGATGGACTGCCTGGATTGCCAGGAGAGAAAGGCAACCGGGTAAGTAAATGATATAATTCCATTTTTATTATTCTTTATAATGTAAATTGACACATTTCAGAAACAGACAGAGGGGCATATTTAGGTCCTAATACCATTTTCACTATGACAGGTGCAAATAAATAACAGGGACATAGCAATAATAGAATATAATTCGTTGCAACTTTTTCAATCCATTTTCAACCTGACAATGCAGAATTATATTTTTAATTTTTTTTAATTTTTGATTTATGTACACAATCGTTAATGTTAAGAATGGATGAAGGCAGGGCAGGCTTTAGGGAGCAGCAATTATGCACCTGTCTTACTCTGTATTCTGATGTTCCCTGTGCTGTGCCAACGTTTTGGTACCCATGAATACTAGATGTAAATACCAATGCATTCTCTCCATTCGACACTTCTCTGGGCGTGGTACCCCGTATGGAATATAGAATGCCATGGTATCTGGAGCGGCAATGCAGAATGGCAATTCTTTTTAATTTAGCAGAATACAGTATAACGCTTACCGACCATTGGGTGCACAATAGCAAGGCACAATCCAGTACAATGATGATGGGACAGAAGTAGTCCTATTTGCTTAGACTTGTGATGATCCCTCTTAGTTTTACAGATAAAGTTTTGGAAGACATTGATCCAACTAACATACAAATATAATATTTTGGTATCAGGGCTTTCATGCGGTACTTTTTAATGCAATTACTTTGGTGCTGAAAACGAATACGAATGCTAAATTATCCCTAAAAATAAAGCACACACCTATCATTCCCCTACTTGAACACATAACCTTATCCCTAAGATGAGCCAATAACGCATAACATCCACTCATCAATGACCCTTAACCTTTAACTTTAATTCTTGCTATGTGTGTTCCAAGTCAATAACTCCAACAGTACTGATCCAAAAGTTCAGCATAGCAGGGAGCCAGCACTTACAAACAGAAGTCAATAGCGGCCTCATATTTCTCACATAACAAGTTTACTTTAACCTGCAATTACCCGCTCACCCATAGGCCGGCTATTAACCTAACCTCTATTCTAAGCCTTAACCCCTACAGCAGAGCACTTACCTTATCCTGTTCCTGAAGTAGCTGCATTGAAAACCAACAAGTCTGTGCCACATTGCCACAATAATCCGATCCCAGTAAAAACAAATGACCTGAAAATGCCCATAAGGCCACCCATTAATTGTTTTCAGATTGCTCAATGCTGACATGATGCACTCACCTAACACTAAAAACTGGCTCATTCATTTGGCTTTGTTTTTTCTTTTAATTTAGGCCTCAAGCCAGGCTGCTTCAACTTATATAGGCTGAATTGTGTCAGATAAAATGTGATTGGATTGAAACAAAACCATGCAAAAGTTTTGATTGTGAAATAGCTCACCCAGATGTGTAGGTGATCACTCTGGTATTGTCCTATGGATGTCTGGAATGGTGACCACCAGTTGGATAACTGTATCATCTCAATTTGTCTGTACATTTTCATTCTCACTAATTGTAGTTTTGTTGGTATCATGTTTTCTCTTGGATAATTATCAGTTTTTCATTTGTTTTAAGACATTAACATGAACATATTTCACCATAGGGAGATTCTGGAACTCAGGGTCCTCTGGGTCCACCAGGAGAAGATGGAGAGAGGGTAAGTACCATGTGAAAAAGGTTACTTCATTGGGGAGATTCAGCTCCGTGTCAGATCAAAGTTTCATTCCCTATTTTATTTTCTTGTAGGGAAGTGATGGAGAGGTCGGACCCCGTGGACTTCCCGGTGAACCAGTAAGAATTTTTTTTTATTTCTTAGAACTTTTTATGCTCAACTCCACCTAGCCCTAATTCTCCGTGCCATTGCCATTCATCAAACTATACATGGAACTTTGCGCTATTGTGTATGGGAATTATGCAAACTTTACTTAATACATCACAACTGAGCATTACTTGTAATAAACTGAAGTTACTAAATGAGTACAAATAACCTCAATAAACAGTGATAACTGTTAGTGTGGAGATCAGTCGTATTCCATGCATGCTCTATAATTCTGATACAGTAAAGTCCTTATGGAACAATAGTATTCATAAAAAGGGCAGCTCATGCTGGAAGTAGACCTTTGAGGACTGTTACAAAGCAACTATAGTTTTACCACTTCTCCCTGTTGCCAGTACTAGCTGGGCGATTTGTTATCATGTTACTATCCATCTGAAATTTGCCAAAAACTTGTAGTGATACTCTGTGGGCTTTGCAACATACAATAGGTTAAATGACGTAATCTATTGTTAAAGTGCCTGGGACTGCTTGCAGCTTTTGCTGTTTAAGTTGTCAGTGACAGAAGCCACCTAATTAACAATTCTTAGCAAAATATCATAACGGTGACAAGAGGGAAGCAGCATGTGTTAGGTACATGGTACAGGTACTGTAATTTTGTATTGCTGTGTCATAGAAGGCTTTCTCAGGATAAGGTTTGATTGAAGCAGATGTTGAGGCACTATCATTTGAATGCCTTATTTTATTTTTCCATTTTTGAATTGGGATATAATACAGTCTTGGACAATTGGTCCAATAAAGGGTACAATATAATCCTGGAAAACAGGTCCAGTAGAGAGTATGATACAGTCTTGGACAAAGAGTCCAGTAAAGGGTACAATACAATCCTGGAGAACTGGTCCAGTAAAGGGTACAATACTATCCCGGACAACCAGTTCAGTAAAGGGAACAATACAATCCTGGAGAACTGATCCAGTAAAGAGTATGGTACAGTCTTGGACAACCGGTCCAGTAAAGAATCCAATCCAATCCTGGGCAACTCTTCCAGTAAAGAGGTACAATAGAATCCTAGATAACCAGTTCAGTAAAGGGTACAATACAATCCTGGACATCTGGTCCAGTAAAGGGTACAATACAATCCTGGACATCTGGTCCAGTAAAGGGTACAATACAATCCCGGACATATGGTCCAGTAAAGAGTACAATACAATACAAAGAATGGATCTTTGATGAGCCTCCAAACACGGAAAAACAGATCTTCACTGTGGACCTGCAATGAAGGACATGTCCACTTGTTTATGCTGTTTATGTGTGTTGGGTTGTCATTTAGAATGGCAGCACAATGGACTACACATGTACTGCTTATTGTGGGACTTGCATTAATACAAATCATAATGAGCATTTCTGTACTACTGTACTGTTTTACATTTGCACAAAGTGTTTGTATAAACATCATAAAAATGCTTACAGGAGGGTAGGGCAAAGTAATAACCTCATCAGTGTGCTGCTACTCATTCCCTGTCCAGTCATAGGCCTGGCCAGGTCAGGTCCTGGAACAGGCTGTATTGCTCATCTGCAGTGTAGTTTGCAGTGGAGGTCCAGGACTTGGATGTGTATTCTGGTAAAGATGTTTGACGATCACAGGAGTGTTTTGGTAGTTAAACAATTCACATATATTACAATCTTGTGTAGTTGTGTGTCTGGAGTACAGCTTTAGGGCTATACAGACAAACACAAACATAGATTTTCCACACCAGAATTCCAGGTCCACCTTACTGCCATGTCAGTTACCAAGCCAAGCGGTTTTATATTCTTCCAGCGGGTTCTCTATGGAATAAACACATTGTAGGGAAGCCAGCCATGAGGAGGTGACTCCCTTATTGTATCATTGTGGTAGGAAGAGACACAGACCACTCTGGGGAAATCTCACTTTTGGAATCTCTCAGATATACAAGAAGTCAACTCTCCAAAACTGAAATATCAGATTGACTTTACTTCATTCTAGATCACCAGCGCACCCCCCTCTCTCCAAAATGAGGGGAACTCCCCTCTATAACAGGCATCACTAGACCAAGTGCCCTTACTGGAAGATTTCCCATTAACTTCTGTTGCACCAGAACATTTGGGATTTTACCATAATTTTTGTTTCAATGAAGGAAAATTGAGGTTTGTTGGACACATAGAGGAGTGAATATCGCAGCAGAGACATAGACACACGACAATACAAACATGCCAGGGATTCTAACCCTTCCATGCTATATGCAAAACAAAAGAAAACGTTTACCTAGAAATACACTGTAAAGTAGAACTATGATCATATGAATATTTACATATTCTTGACACATTAAAAAACCTTTACAACTATGACCTCTATTGTTTTAGGCAATGTGGAGTAATTCATCTTTAAGGTTTACAATAGAAAGTACTTTTAGTTTCAGTTCAACAGCTCAGTTTATTCTGCTCCAGACTTCTAATCTGTAAACATAGAGAAAGGTTACAAGAAAAAGGGAGAGCAGAGTGTTGACACCCAACTTGAAGTAATTCACTGCTTCTCTGAGCATAAATTGCTCCACAGTGCCTGCAGCTACAGAGGTCAGTGAGGCATTGTTTAAAGAATAAGTGAACTTATTATTTTTGCCCCCCTCCCCTGCCCTAATAGGTCCCACCCTTCTCCTCCCAAGATGTATGCAAAGATCCGACACCCACAGCCTCCTGTGTTTGTTGACATCTGGAGCCACAAGGCTCCTCTCTCCTGGCCATGCCTGGATGGTAGAGTGTCTATGGGGCTCGTCTCCTGGCCAACAGACAGAGGTTTTTTTTATGGGGCTCCAGTATACAGGCCAGGCCAAGAGAGAGAGGACTAGTGGCGCAGGATGTAGATAATTCACGAAGGTCATAATTAAGGGCAACAACTTTTCTCTTTAAAGCAGAACTCTAAGCAGATATAAAATATATCAATGTGGCTCTTTATTAAGTGATATATTATTAAATTAATTTTTTTAAATACAAGCAATGTAAGTATCTGCATTCGACTTGGCATCAGCATCTTGCAGTCCATGTATAGCAGAGCTGGAGTATTAGAGGAAGAAACAATACAAGGAGCCAATTAGTTCATGTGCTGACAAGAAGCATGCTGATAGCAGGAGAACGCAAAGTGACAGAGAGATCAGCTTATTACTGTGCTGCTTCTCCTTTCAATCTCCAGTAACAGACTAGGGAAAGTTCTGGACAAGCCGGGCTCAAGGAAAGTGAGTTAAATGATGCTGGCCATCAGACTGAGGACAAAAAAAGTACTGTAGGGGAAATCTCTGGATTAAAGCAATATATTTCAGAGAAAGCTTGTTTTGTTATTTTATCTTTTGATGGGCTATTCATTTTATCTTGTTATTTTTGGGTGGAGTTTTGCTTTAAGCCACGCTTCCTTAAAACATGTTACTTGGTCTGTTCTGTTATTCCTGCGCGTCCCTACTGAATAGAAATAGGATGGTCTTCCCTCAAGAGCAAAATCTCTCCCCACAATATATATACCGGTATATATATATATGTTTAGGACAATCACAGAGGTATTTAGACCTGATAGATGGAATCCAATGATTGTTACATACCCATCACAATATATTAACAGTTTTGTTAATAGTTACATACTGTAGTTACGTATTAGTATTAGTATTTAAGGTTGAAAAAACACTCAGGTCCATCCAGTTCAACCTTTGTGTGTGTGTGTGTCTCTTGTGCGTGCGTGTGTGTATAAGAGTTCCTGCATGGTCTAGTATTTAAGAGTACCTGTACCCCTGTATGTTACGGTCTCTTAGGATGGTATCTAATTGATTTTTGAACGAATCAATATTCTTTGCAGATACCACTTGTTGTGGCAAAGAGTTCAAAATTATAACCACTCTGACAGAGAAGATGCCCCTACGCCCCTTTGTGGATAAATCTTTTCTCCACCAATTTTAGGTGGTGGCCTCTAGTCCTGGTTACGGAGTTTACAGTAAAAAGTTTATTGCATATGTTGCCCTCACCACTAAACATTTTGTACAACAAAATCATGTCCCCTCTTAACCTCCTCACTTCCAGCGTGAACAAGTTTAAATTTAGCAACCTCGTCTATATATTAAACATTTGTCTCTCCATGTTTTCTTAGGGAGTCCGGGGACTGCTTGGACCTAAAGGCCCACCTGGCAACCCAGGCTCAAATGTGAGTATTCTCCATACATTAAATTCTACTTGTAATAGTGTGCAGACTGCTTAGCCAGATAACATTGTTTTCCATGTCTCTACAGGGAGTAAGAGGTATGGACGGGCCAGTGGGACAGAAGGGAAATCTGGTAAGTTCTATTCTACATACAGTTGGGACTCAACACAGTGTAAAGTCCAAGTCTTTGTAGTGCCTGTCCTCATCTAAAATATTGTTTTTGTCTTAGGGTCCACAAGGTGAGCCAGGCCCTCCTGGACAGCAAGGAACTCCAGGCACACAAGGTCTTTCTGGGCCACAAGGTCCTGTGGGTCCACCAGGAGAGCAGGTAAGAATGATAAGGTTTAGAGGAGGGTAAAAAGGGGTTTAGAGGGTAGCACTTACCTAACCTGCAACTCAACTCATACTTTTTTGTTTACAGGGCCCTCTGGGCAAGCCTGGCCTTCCCGGAATTCCAGGCTCTGATGGACCTCCCGTAAGTACACATTGGGCCTGCTTAACATTAACCATGTTTATGTCCATGTTTCACATTAAAATGTCCATGTATAACATTAAAACGTCAACGTCTCTATCAACCAGATGTAGATTTTTTATGACTGCGTGTCGTGGGACCAGGGGTGCCCTCTTACCTGGGGTCCGGCGGGTGCGACGGAGATCGTAGGGTCCTTCTTGGGGTGAATTGGTGCCCGGCGGCGTGCTGCATGTGTGCACATGAGCGCATGCATGCCATGCGTGCGTGACGTGCGCATGTGGCAATGCCGTGGCTTCTTAGCTGCTTCGGGTGCTGGTCATTGCCAGGGAGGGCCTTGCAAACACTCCTTCTCTCCCAGCCGTCCCATTGGTTCGCAGGGACCTGTGGCTTCCTGTTGCCCAGACAACAGGGGCGTCGCTGGCCCCTGCTGGGTTTAAATTCCAGCCAGATCCAAGACTTGTTGCTGAGTTATTCTGCCATTCCCTAAGCAGCTACAACGCCTCATTTCCTGTTTCCTGTTTCCTGCCTCCCTTCCCTGCTATTCGGATCTCCTGGTTATCGACCCCTGGCTTGCCTCACCGTTTATGATACTCGCTGCCTGCCTCGACCCGGACTGTACTCTGACATCGCATTTTGGATTATCCTTTCTTGTACCTCAGCCTGGACTCTCCTTCTGGGATTGTTCCCTGCTATTGGGTTCCAATCCAGCAAACAGGGGGACTTCGTTCCTTCCCTAACACTGCGTTATATTCTTCACTCTGCTGTTCTTTTGGTTGTAAAACCAGCTCAACTGAATCAAATAGACTCCATCTCCTGTAGACCGTATGAAGCCTTCAATTCCACCATGTTGTCAGGTTCTGGTGGAATTAATATCTCTATATGGATATTTGCACAATTGTGGCTGAAAACAAGGCTCACAATTGATTTAATAGTGTATTACAACCAACAAAAATGTACAGGCAGTCCCCGAGTTACGAACATCCGATTTACGTACAACTCGTACTTACAAACCAGGCTGCCATGCTCGTGCCAACATTCGTAGTACTGTACCTCTTGTACATTACAGGAAGTTGTTAGACGTACAGACAAGGAGTGGGTCTCGTTTGTAGTACTGTACCTCCTGTACATTACAGGAGGTTGTTACACGTGCAGACAGGGGGTGGGTCTGGTTTGTATTACTGTACCTCCTGTACATTACAGGAAGTTGTTAGATGTGCAGACAGGGGGTGGCTCTGGTTTGTAGTACTGTACCTCCTGTACATTACAGGAAGTTGTTAGATGTGCAGACAGGAAGTGGGTCTGGTTTGTAGTACTGTACCTCCTTTAGATTACAGGAAGTTGTTAGACGTGCAGACAGGGGGTGGGTCTGGTTAGAAGTACTGTACCTCCTGTACATTACAGGAAGTTGTTAGACGTACAGACGGGGAGTGGGTCTCGTTTGTAGTACTGTACCTCCTGTACATTACAGGAAGTTGTTAGACGTACAGACGAGGAGTGTGTCTCGTTTGTAGTACTGTACCTCCTGTACATTACAGGAAGTTGTTAGACGTGCAGACGAGGAGTGGGTCTATTTTGTAGTACTGTACCTCCTGTACATTACAGGAAGTTGTTAGACGTGCAGACAGGGGGTGGGTCTGGTTTGAAGTACGGTACCTCCTGTACATTACAGGAAGTTTGTGAGACGTACAGAAAGGGAGTGGGTCTCATTTGCAGTACTGTACCTCCTGTACATTACAGGAAGTTGTTAGACGTGCAGACAGGGGGTGGGTCTGGTTTGAAGTACGGTACCTCCTGTACATTACAGGAAGTTGTTAGACGTGCAGACAGGGGGTGGGTCTGGTTTGAAGTACTGTACCTCCTGTACATTACAGGGAGTTGTTAGACGTACAGACAGGGAGTGGATCTGGTTTGTAGTATTCTACCTCCTGTACATTACAGGAAGCTGTTAGACGTACAGACAGGGAGTGGATCTGGTTTGTAGTATTCTACCTCCTGTACATTACAGGAAGCTGTTAGACGTACAGACAGGGAGTGGATCTGGTTTGTAGTATTCTACCTCCTGTACATTACAGGAAGCTGTTAGACATGCAGACGAAGAGTTCCCGCCTCTTCTTCCGGGTCTGCTACTGTACAGGAAGTTGGCTTGTAACCCTGTACATACAGTGTACTTCAGACGTTTTTTGCTTTCACCTTGTAACAATGCCGAAACACAAATCTGATGCAAGTGCTGGTGATACAGCAAAGAAAAGAAAAACCCTCACCATGGAGGATAAAGTAGAAATAATAAAAAGATCAGAGAGAGGTGAAACTCCTTCATCTATTGGCAGAGCATTTTTTTTACAGTCAGTCAACAATTGCAACAATTTAAAAAAATAAAGGTAGAATAATGGAGCATGTGAAAGGCCGTACCCCCAATGAATGCTACGATTATTACCATACAAAAATGGACCTGTTCCAACTTACATACAAATTCAATTTAAGAACAAACCTACAGAACCTATCTTGTTCGTAACCTGGGAACTGCCTGTATTCAAATCGTTAAATATTTCTAGGAAACAAAAACCCCGCCCCTGCCTAAATCTTACTCCGGCAGTATAACAAGTTATGGTTATCCTTTGTCTTTAGCAAAAGGAATTTGGCAGATGACTGTTCTCTTAATTCCCAACTATTAAATGTACAAACATTCAGTGCTTCATAGTTAGAGGTTCCAGGGAAACAACATAGCACCAAAACTATAGTTATCTTAATTTGAGATTAAATCATATTAATATCTAGAAAAAAGTCAAATAGATTTAATGTATTTGTGAGAAATCGACATTAGATGGTTAATCAAGTTAAAGAAAAAATATACACTAACCTGCATTATATGATTTCTAAATTTTTCTTCCGCAGGGTCATCCTGGCAAAGAGGGTTATTCAGGCACCAAGGGAAACCAGGTAAGTTTCACTGTAACTAGCTACATGTGAAAAACACAGGTAATCAGAATCAATGTCAAAGGAATAACAAAATCAAGATGAAGGGACAGAGTTATTAATTTGGAGAAAAGAAAACGAGCACAAAATAGGAGTTCTTGCAAACTGCAGTCAGGTTTCTTTTTTAATTCTATAGAAAACAACAATTCTGATTGGTTTATATAAGCAATAATTTCAGTTTTGTGCTCCTTTTGTTTGGGTTTAATGGATCAATCTATGCATGGTAAACCTTGTTCCTTAAAGCGGACCTTTACCCATACCTTTAAAATAACAACAAAGACACCTTTAGAAATGTTTAGTAATGACAACCTACAATCACATACTTCTAGATAATTGTCGGCTTTGTATTCTCTGCATACCTTATTTCTCCTTTCTTCCCTAGTCTTCTGACAGTGGCCATGTTTACTAAGGGCAGATTACTAGATCTCCTTTTACTTCCTGAAAATTGGCACATGTCACTAGACAAGTGAATAGGACATGTGACCATGCACATCATCTAGGGGGAGGAAAATGCCTTTCCCTGAGATGAGATTTCCCAGCAATGCTCTGCTGATATAAGCTTCCCAGTGTGCATTGCTTTGGCAAACTGAAGTCAGTTTTCCCTTTCAAAGCAGGAAGTGAATGCTCTGCAAGTGTAAGTATTTCACAATCACAGCATTTAACACCTGCCATGTCCATATAATATAATATAATTGATATACATATTAATCATCATACATAGAGGGATGCATTGGTAGAACTTGATTTTTGAGTGTAAAAGTCCACTTTAATACTGAAACATCAAATATCAAATGCCATGGCCTAACCCACTCATAGCTTACATGAGTGGGTTAGAATTGTGCAACCTGTAGGTCTAAAATGTGTAGGGTTTTGGAAGTCTATATTTGTCAGATTCGCCAAGCCTCTTAGTATTTTGTTTTATATGTTGCTGATATGAGGATCCTAATAGGATTATTTTGTTTGGGGTTCTAGTCAAGGCCATGTTGACATACCGAAAGTTGCAAACTGAGAAATTACATCTAGTTCACTTTGGATTTTTTTCTTCAGTGAAGATATCAGTTATTATATGACTCATTATATTTACTAGAAGATATATACCGTCTTAAGATATTGCAGTGCTACTAAGTATGTCATCATGTGTCTTGTAGACATGTGCGATTCGTTTCGTTCCAAATTAAAATTCGGACGAATTTTCCGAAATATGGACATTCGGACACATCCAAACTTCCGAATCCAAATAAATCTGAATGTGTCCGAATCCGAATTTCCGTTTCCGAATTTCGGATCCCGTTCGAATTTCATTCAAAAACGAAACTGAATCAGACATGTGACTTTTCTGACCAATCAGAATGTGTTTTTCGGTTTAATGCATTCGAATGGGTCTGAACACGAATTTTCGTTACGGCAACATGGGAGCCATATACAGTATATACATATAATACTAAAACCAGACCCGAATGGCATTCAGGATCCGAATTTCAGAATTGCATTGGGGAGCCCCGAATGCCATTCCGGTCTATAAGCCTCAGCTTTAGTGATATATGTACAGTATATGACTCCCAGATCCGAATGGCATTTGGGAGCCCCGGAATGCAATTCGGAAATTCGGATCCCGAATGCCATTCGAGTCTAGGGCTTTAGTATTAATATCTGTATATGGTTTTCTGTGGTATTCGCAACGATTATTCGTAAACTTATCCGACACTAACGAAAATTAGGATTTAATCAAAATCCGAAACACGGACCAAACTGAATTTTCGGATCAGAATCTTGAAATAATTAAATATCCGAAACTAACTGTTTTTGTCCGTAGCTTACATGTCTAATGTCTTGTAACAAGATAAACCTAAGCCATTGAATATTCCACCATTGCTGCAGACCGCTAACGCATGAAGCTACGGTATGGCAATATTTAGAATTAAATCTTGATGCCAATGAATCCGTACTACTCTGGACTCAAACTTCTTCTTGCCCATCCAATTTATCACTTAGACTGAATGATAATGATCCTTGAAGTAGACTGGTAACAGCCTACTTCATGGATGATCTCCAGCCCCTCAGATCAGTTGAATAAATTTTTGGGTGGATCAATATTACCAGTAATCTGAAATATTGGCAAAATTAAGAAAACTTTTTTGCCTTGTTCTGTATTTTTGCATATATGTATGTATATATATATCTATATATATATAGATATGTATATCTATATATACTGTATATAGTTATATATTTGCATTTTGTTTTCCTCTTCAAAAACTTTCAACAGGATTGAAATTGTACAACCTGGTCAGTTAATATGCTAAATTATTACTCATTAAGTAGCTACTAAGTCATTTGAAATTGCTATGAATTGAAGGGACCTGCCCCCTATAAAAATATGACCTACTGTTTTATATAAAGCCTGTGTGTTGCTGAGTGTTGTGTTGTAGAGTAGGTGCTGACAGACTTGCATTGTAGTACACCACAATGCACAAGCCATGCAATGCAGTGTGCTGCGTTTGAAAAAAAGTAATGGACGGGTATAAAATGGTCCTAATAGCTAAGCTTAGTTGATTTACACAGCTATATATTATACACTTATGAAAAAAAAGTATTTCTACCTAAATCATTATAAAATGAAATTACAAATTTATCATAATCCAATCTCTGTCAATCAATCTCAAACGTTGACCAATGCAAGGTGTCCCACTGTAACCAGACTTATTACACCTGTCCTTTGCCTTAGTTGATATGTCCCTCCAGTACTATTCTGCTACCTATTTATAAAAATAGATTAAGAGAAATATGGAAGCCATGATGACGCCTACATTCTGACGCAGGATTTAACAAGTGAACTCGTGATATCGATTTAAAGTTTTTCTTTTTTCACCAATCAACTTTATTGGTTCTTTTCCTTTAGGGTCCACTTGGTCCACAAGGTTCAATTGGTTATCCTGGTCCTCGAGGTGGAAAGGTACTTTAAAAAAAAAAAAAAAGAGTATATTTTGCTTCTCTCTGATTATGTTTTGTCTTGGATTTCAACCTGAAAATTGGTTCATATCTTTCCATTTTGTACACCTGATTGATTCCATGCTGTTTTCTCCGGTTCTTATATATCTTAATCGTTTCCTTCTGTGCAGTATTTCCTTTTCTTCCTCCCTCATGGGTCTTTTTTTACATTTGCAGGGAATTGACGGAATCAGGGGCCTTAAAGGACACAAAGGAGAGAAGGTAAGAGGACAACTTTCTACGTCAGTGCCCTTTAAATGTACCTTTTGCCCAAACATAGCCTGGTCAGCCATTTTGCTGCAGCCTAAAGATTTTTCTTGGCACTGCTGATATCTCTATAATATTGGGGGTTATGACTCTTTTAGCACATTGATACTTTTCATTTCTGATTCTTTGATATTTTACATATTGATTCAGAACCTGCAGTTGGTATTTCCATTGGATAGATGTGACAGTAGGGCATTTCCTACCATGAGGCAAATGCAAGGTCACCACAATTTTATCATCTGCCCCTTGCTTCTACACTCTACAGTGAAGAGATACTGGAATCTCTGCAGCACCTGTGGTGCCTAGAAAAGCTACAATCCCACGGGAATGGTGCTTAGTGTTGGGGCAGGGCTTTATAGAGAGCATGTGCACCATCTCATTGCTATTTTATGATAAGCCTACACCAGCAAAATGCTCCTTTGTGACAGGTACACTTTAATGACTTTCTGTGAAAGAGATGGATCTTCGTAATTATAACCTGGTTGTCTTTATTCTATTTTTTCAGGGTGAAGAGGGTTTCACAGGGTTCAAAGGGGACTTTGGTATAAAAGGTGATAAGGTGAGTATAAATGCAAGTTTACTTTATGTACTTGATGTGAATTGATCTACTACTACCAGTCATAATACCACTCAAATATTAATAAGAGGAAAAGTGCAGCCTATTGTTTTGTGGTATTGTCCACGTTAGACTAAGATAAGCTCACCAGTTGGTGTGGTCATGTACATCAGCCGGACCTGTTATGTGTTGATGAGTAAGAACTGAAATAGTAATTGATATTTTAAAAGAATTGGCTTAACCCATCCATTATCATTTACATTCCAAGTGTTACTCAATCTCTTATTGCAGGGTAAGCCTTAATTTTATGAGGAAGTAGTTACTTCATGATTGACTTGCCCATTTGCAGCTAGTTGGATCACTAGTTCTGCTAATGTCTGCTGCTGACGGACATGGAAAAAATAAAGTTGCACTCCTCCATATTAGACATGCTTGTCTTGCCCTCTCTCATGCTCTACCAGCATTTAAAATGGTCACTGTTGTTTAAAAAAATAATAATGTTAGGTGGCATCTCTTACAATGCAGTTACAATACATTTACAAATTTTACAGCAACTTTTTTTGGAATCCCTTAGAGCCATGGTTCTCAACTTAGAGCCGTAAACCGAAGAGTGGGTCGTAACCCAGTGTTCAGTGGGTCGTGACGTGCCTTCCATTGTGCTAGGTTAGAGGCTCCTCAGCCTCCGCCTAGTGCAGCATGTCAGTTCTTGCGCTAAATAGTCATTCCCAATATGCTGCCCGGCACCGGAATTTGCAATGCAGGCAGTGGGACTTGGGTCGCGACTTAATGACCAAGGACAAATGTGGGCTCTGAGGTTACACAGCTTGAGAACCACTGCCTTAGAGCATTCAGCAGGCCAGTGGCATCACAAGGGGGGTGCGGCCCGCACCTAGGTGACACCATTGTAGGGGTGACACCAAAATGACTGACAGTCATTTTGGTGTCACCCCCTCTAAAAAGTCATCACCCCCTCTAAAAAGTCGTCATGGACCAAGAGCCCAACAGTGTCAGGAGAGAAGAGAGGACCCGGCGGCATACCTCATCCTGCCGGGTGAACATCCCCTCCTCTCTCTGCCGGTGTCCATCACGCACACGCGTGATGACGACATGGCGGGGTGTCACCAGGTCCGGAGACCTGGTGACACCTGGCCTCGGGACGCCCTTGCAGTAGGCTATAGTAGACATTTAGAAAGCTTAAGCAGTAATGATGCTTGTTTCAGTTACAAGCCAGCTGAATGCCTATTTAAAGCAACAATCAACTCTCAAATTGATATCTGTTTTCAGCACTACCAGACTGGTGTACAAAGGGAAAGAGAAGACTTTAAGAACGCTTCTGGACATTTTTTAAATGCAATGTTCATGCCTAATGAATATGTTGTTCTTCACACTATTATTTACTAGCCAAGACTACAAAATTCCTATATGTACTAGGCCATAAAATAACCACTATATCTTTTCTGATCCAAAACTTTGGAGATCTTCTTGTTTGGCCTCCTGGCAGCAATATATCCAGACAAATCTAAACCCATGTCAGGCTGGAATACACAGGACCTATCAATACAACATAGAGCTCAAAATATTAAGGGCTCATTCACACCAGACCTACTAGGCTGCATTGGACAACATTGACCAATGCAGTTCCAAAACATAAACAAGGCAATTTGCCTTATGCTTCAGGCTAGGTTCACACCTGCACTACATCACACGACACCCGGGATGTGTGATGTAGAAACACAGCGATTGCTGCGCGGCTCTGTTGATTTCAGTGGTGTGACATCCACGCGGCAATCACTAAAAAAAGTAACAGTACCTTTTTTGCGACACACGACCTGTGGCTTTTTTAGCCACGGGAAACCGCGCGATCCGCCCGGCGCGACTGGGGTGCAATTAGAAAATAATGGCACCCACAGCGCAATCGGTTCACACCTTGGCGACTCCCCACAGTGCGGCAATCGAGGACAAAACCGCACGGATTGCTGCACAGTCAGTAGTCGCCTAGTTGTGAACCTAGTCTCAGTTTGCACCAATGTGCTGCATTAGTGTGCGCTGACCAAATAAGGACATGCTGCATTGTTGCTCAGCGGGTTCCAACATGCTTTATTGCGTTGCAACATGCTGCAGTGCACAGCAGAAAATAGACTGCAAAATTAAATAACATTTATGTTTAAAAAAAAAGGAAAAAAAGCAAGCAATACAATGCATTTCAATACAATAGATTTGAGCTCTTGTGCATTATGCACACCATCACGTGCCTCTCTCAAGGCCAATCAAGGTTTTAATGGGTGGTCCAACACTTGTCTCAAAAAATTAAACAAGAGCAGCACCAGTCTGATTAAAATAACGTATCAACTTTGGATAAGCTTTCTTCAATGCAGAGTCTGGCAACGGACAAATAACACTTTGTTGAGTGTTGGATGTTCATTGCTGTGCTAAATTATTTTTTTCTATTCGTATTTTCTTGTTCTTTTCTGCTAGTTATGTCTATTCAATGTGCCATGGGCCATTCTGTACCACGACCCAATGTTAAAGAAAACCCCCTAGACTAATTAAATCTTTTTACATCAAGCAGATGTTGAAATCATTAAAAACTACTTTCCTTTTAACAGGAGGGCAGCTTATATAAGAGTAAAGCAAATATGGGGCAAAAGCAACGAAAGCTTGCATTGGATCATAAGAAGCATTTTCTTCCAACCAGAGGAACAAAAAATTGAACATCTTTATTTAGTTTATGACAGTTACACATGTAGTAACATTATAATAGGTAGCTTTCTTGAATAGAAAAATGTGTAGTTTTAAAAGTATAAACAACTTGGCGAAGTTCTATTTTATTGTAGCTCGCATTACTATTATTTTATAAGTAGTTAAAAGGTTGCAGATATGTTAGTTCAGCCTGCTCTATGGCTGACTCTACAGTGTGTTTAAGGTAGGTTTTATATCTTTTTAACCATGGTTTGGTATTTCATTTCTACATAGGGTGAGGGCGGAGTCCCAGGCTCAAGAGGTGAGGATGGCTCTGAGGGCCCTAAGGGAAGATCCGGCCCCCCTGGTGACCCAGGTCCCCTTGGATTGTTGGGTGAGAAGGTGAGATGTGGCTGTGTCTGGTGTGTCCCCACAAACCAGAACAACCCAATTAGAATGGTAATATAACTTGTGTCTCTTGTGTCTTCCAGGGCAAGCTGGGTGTTCCAGGTCTGCCAGGCTACCCAGGACGTCAGGGGACGAAGGTGAAGGAGGGTTACAGCGGAACATAACGGGTATGCAGCGCCTGCCTTTCTGCACTGGTTTATAATCAACTCTGCCTTATATCGTTACAGGGATCTCTCGGCTTCCCAGGATTCGCAGGGGCCAACGGAGAGAAGGGAGCAAGGGTATGGGAAACATTACCTATTCATATAGCCAACCTGTCCCGTCTATACCGGAGGGCTGCTTAAATCAACTTTTACTTTGTTTTTAAACGGAGGTTCAAACGAATACATTTTAATTTAAGGGGCTGATTTATAAATCTTCCATCCAGTGTATAGATGGAAGAATGCAGTTCACACAGCATGACCGAGGAGCATACCAAAGATTTATAAATCGGCCCCTAAGTGTGCCTGACAAAAATGTGCCTTGTTCTCTGGATAGTTATATGAGTGATTTTTGTTTTTATGAAAAATCTTAGTTTTAAAACAGTTCTATACTAACATCTCTTTAGCAGAGTGTATGTGGTTTTTGTATTAAGTTTTGGCTAGCTTAGGGAAGGGAAGAAATTGACAAAGTGCCTATTCCTCAAAAAAGGTACTCACAAGATAAGTAGGATAAAATACATGCAGATTCCACAACCAGATTGAACCAGGACCCACATGGCTCTGATGAAGGAGGCATGGCCCCAGATACAAATCAAGCCCTACCCTTAGCCCTACCGCACATTACTGGCTGGGACCAGCATTTGGGAAGACATGTGTGAATGATTCAAGCACTTTAATTGATGGTGCCTGGCTTGGTCCAGTTGTGGATTCTACAGAAAATGCACTTTATCGTAATAACTATCCTACTAAAAGTGCCATTTTTGACCGATATGTTTCGATGCATCCCTAGTTCTTAGCATAATTTCTTTTAAATTCGAATGTAATATCAGGTAAATACCGCAGTATGGCCACTAGATGGAGCTAAAGAGCATAGGTTATAAATTCTTCTTTTTTATGCTCCTCAGTTCCATCTAGTGACCATAATTTGGTATTTCTGATATTACTTTTGACTTTGAAAGAAATTATGTTCAGAGCATTTGTTTTTACCTCCATTCGCACAGCATGAACGTTCGCAAAGTTTTGCAGGATAAATGAGTTGGGCATGACTTCTAATCTGGCCAATAGCTGTGCCCCATGACAGCAGCCAGATCAGCATAAACATAAGATCCCTTAGCAATATGGCAAAAAAAACCAACAACTGGCCTGGGCATATGTCACCTCATGTCTGCAAGTACCTTAAGACACGACTGCTGTGCTAAGACATAAGCAGAGTCTACATATACAAAGAGCACATATGGCTGCCTGCATGTGCATTGTACTTTACTTATTGCAAATGACATGCTTAAAGATGGATGGTACAGTGTCTCAGTGGTTAGCACTACTGCCTTGTAGCCAGTGGCGTCACAAGGGGGTGCGGCCCACATCCGGGTGACACCATTGGAGGGGTTACACCAAAATGACCGACAGTCATTTTGGTGTCACCCTCTCTGAAAAGTCGGGTACTTGGTCATGGACTGAGAGCCCAACAGTCGCAGGAGAGAAAAGGGGACCCGGCGGCATACCTTATGCTTCCGGGTGAACGTCCCCTCCTCTCTCTGCCGGCATCCATCACCAAGATGGCCACCGGCATCCATCACCAAGATGGCCATCTGCAGGTATCACCGAGATGGCCGTGAATGCGCAGTGACGGGGGATATCCACTCCAGGTGACACCAGGCCTTGGGAGGCCCCTAATTGTAGCACTAGGGTCCTTGGTTTTAATCCCAACCAGGATATTATATGCATGCAGTTTGCATGGCGTACTTTGGTTTCCTCCTACATTACAAAAACATGTTGGTTAAGTTAAGTGGCTCAACTGAGTGTGCCCAAGATGGCTACCTCACCTCCTAAGTGCTTTGAGTCCCTTTGAAGGGAAAAGGCGCTATAGAAATACAAAATAAATATATAAGGAGATCAATTAAAATATATACTTAAAGAAGTATAAAAAAAGACAGCAGGTTTCCTTTAATAGCTGAATTTTCATCTTTGCCTGACAGCTTCACTTTAATGGACTTTGATAGAATAAATGCATGGATGACTATACATAGCAGTATTACAATACATTGCAGTGTTTGCCAGTCTGCCATGTGTTGCTGTATAGTGCTGGATTGCAGCAGTGTTGCATGTCGTAATGACCTTTATACCGATTGCTGCTAAATTGCATCATTTGATGAGTCAGCCTTTGATTCTTTTTTCTCTTAGGGTTTGTCTGGAAAATCAGGTCCAAGAGGAGAGAGGGGCCCTTCGGTAAGTAAAATTAGTCACATCTACCTATCCATAGTTCTCAGAGAATCCAACTGCAACTAAAAGTTTTATATTGTAGAAATTATTGTAAATATATTGGTAGCTAGTTTTTAATTGTACACTATGATTAATCCATATTGTCGACGAAACGTGTAAGCTGAAGAAGATCCAATGGCTGGATGTGACTTCTTCCTTCAACAAATTTACACACTGAGCTCTTTTGGAGTGGGGCATCAATTTCTTTATATTTGGGATGTGCGGGCTGGTGAGGACGAATTTTTTATTGTACTGGCAACAGTGGGAAAGAGGGGTTCTAAGCAGAGGCCTGAAGTGGAACACCCGGCTTGTTGAACTATTGAGCATTTTGACAGTCCTACAGAACTAGCATGAGTGTAGCTAAGTTGGTTTCTTCTCGGCGGGAGGGGGGCAACATGGTCCATCATTGGATTCAGTAGGAAGCTAAGCTGCATTTCTAAATTGTTGCTGGTTGGTATCTCTATCTATCTATCTATCTATCTATCTATCTATCTATCTATCTATCTATCTATCTATCTATTTATTTTCTCTCTCTCTCTCTCTCTCTCTCTCTCTCTCTCTCTCTCTCTC